TTACATTCTGACTCCCTGCTCCATCCCAAAAGGGAAGCTCCTCCTCTCAGCGCTCATTCTGGGAAATGCAAAGATCAGGCAGGGTCTGCCCCTCCAGATGACCAATAAGATAGTGCATCCTGGTCCCAGAGTCCCGCCCCAGCTCTAGAATCTCCATCGCCCATTCACATTCTCTTCTTCCCACTACCATTAGTCCTTGTGTTTAAAAGATACACATCCTGGGCTAATACTCCAGTAGACATGCCCAATGTCTACGCTATTTTTGCTTAGGTAATCCATGTAGAACTGTGCCACGCACTTACTACACAGTCAAGCAATCTTAGATAGTCATAGTAGTGACGGCATATGCATCTCAAAGGGGCTCTCTTCATTCAAGGGGGTAAATGCAAATTGCTAGAATTTCAAGAACTGGGCCGAGGTTGGTCAGAAGAAATTTTGGCAAGAGGATCTTTCATTTCCCTTCAAAAAACACTTATGGAGGCTGACTCTGAATCTACCTGTTTCTACCATATCTGATGCTTATGGTATGCCTCTTATTTTATCTTTTCTTTTGTTAACTTGTCATTTAAATAACCTTTTTTTGCCATTAAAAGCAATGGCAAAGCTGCGATTACTTTTGCACCAACCTAAATACAATTATGCTTCTTTGATTTATTTTTTTACCCAGCTTTCACTTATTCCTGGGACATTTAAGAAAACTTTCTGATCACTGGATCCTATTCACAGGGAGAAAACAAAAACAAAAAATACATATTCCAGTTATAGATGCCAAGAAATGGGTCCAGTTGCTTATTTCAGCATCCTTATAGATCAAGAAACTCCTGTGAACTGAGATCCTCAACTGTACTATAAATGATACAGCATCAAACTTGTAGAAATTTGCTCAAATGCTCCTGTGACTGCTAGTTTCCTGAGCTACAAAATGGGTGTGACAAGGTTTATTAATTTAAATCTCACAGAAAAATCCATAAAAGCAAAATGGATATATTTGATTTGGGAAAAACATATCCATAGCTTCTTAACAAAATTGTGAACATTGCTATAGGCAGTTAGATCCATATTTTCCAGCATCATTATGAAAACCAGCTTAACCCAATAAAACTACTTGCCATCCTATTTCACAGATGACTAAATGGAATCGTGAGAGACAGTGGTAAAAAAAAAACCTTTTTAAATAAATAAAAGTAAGCAATGTATATCAATCAGCCTCTTAAAGATTTAAACCCATTCTTTAGATTAGGGCCCCCAGAACGACAGCCCTTGCACTCTTATTTGGTCTGTTTGAGTCCGTGACTTTCCCAACAACCTCAAGAACAACAGTCCTGCTACCATTTCTCATCAAAAAGGGCGGGGGGGGGAGTCCTCCTGCCCTATCCAAGTGGGTCACTGCTGCTTTTCCCTTTGTTCAACCTTTCCTATGGAGGTCTGCCAGGTTCTAATGCGGTTCACTGCATATTTTAAATGCTAGAAGTGGTTATGGCCAAAAAAGGTCAGGGAAAATGACTGCTGAGCAAGGATGGGCATGTGCTTGAGAGAGATAGAGGCTGAGATGTAGGTCACCTCTGGGAAGAAGTGTTCAATGGATACTTATTGTTTATTATTGTTCATGCTTTTCCATGGCCTTATTTAATGTTCTAAATTAAGAGCCTTAATTTAGAGGCTTAACATAGTATTTCAAGTGCCTTAACAGTGATTTTCAATAATTTTAAACAAAACTGATCCAATCCTCCTATAAACAGCAGAATTGCTGTCTTCTGTAAATAGAAATGGCAAACATTTCAACACTCTTAAAAATATCAGCTCCTTTGGTTTCCCTCCACCCTCTCACCAATGCCTCCCTTTCCTTTTCAGAATTCCTTCAAGCCGTAGTCCAGAGTGCTCTAGAAGAACTCAAGGGACTCATGTTGATACTAAAGACACTGGGAAGAAAACACCCTGTGGAGATACACAAGGCTTGCTGTTCTTCATGCATTGTCATGAATGCTGCGGGATTTATTGTTTTTTTCTCTGTGACTTATCAAATAAGAGTACTAGAAGGCCGGGCGTGGTGGCTCACGCCTGTAATCCCAGCACTTTGGGAGGCCGAGGCGGGTGGATCACGAGGTCAAGAGATCGAGACCATCCTGGTCAACAAGATGAAACCTCGTCTCTACTAAAACTACAAAAATTAGCTGGGCATGGTGGCACACGCCTGTAGTCCTAGCTACTCGGGAGGCTGAGGCAGGAGAATTGCTTGAACCCAGAAGGAGGAGGTTGTGGTGAGCCTAGATAGTGCCATTGCACTCCAGTCTGAGTAACAACAGCGAAACTCCATCTCAAAAAAAAAAAAAAGAGAGTACTAGAAATTTAATACTGGATAAGCAGCAAAATTTGAACCATAGGCAAAATCAAACTTCAGGATTTACTTATATTATTCTATTTTTATGAGCACCAGACGGGCAAAAGCTGTCTTACAAAGCTGGAAGCAGACATTATCAGGGCCTTCCTACCTTACGAACTTCAAAAGTAAAGGAAATAGAACAAAGGAATATTCTGATGCCTGATCAGATTTTATTTTACCATATATAATATAACCCTTATTTATAGAAGCCCTCAACTTCAACTCTGAGAAATTCTCCAAAAATATACTTCTAACCTGTCACTATCTGCATGTACGTTCAACAGAACTCTAAAATACAAAAGCTACTTCTACTGGCGTGTTATTATATTGCTGAGGTGCTCTAAAAATAATGAAAGATTAAGAATCCCAGGTTCCGTGCACGTGCTGCAGCCACCCTTATTGTGGTGGAACAATTTAAATCCATACATATTCATATATGTATAAGCCTGCAAGGCAGTGGTTGCTAGTTGCCTGCAACTACCCATTCCTCCCTTCTTCCATAGTAAAAGAACCTTAATTCTTAGGCAGTACCCTACCTAGAATAAATGTTTTATTTTCCAGCCTCCCTTGACAGATGTGGCCACATGACTACACTTTGGTCAGTATTATGTAACAAAAGTGGGTGGTATTTCTACAAGGGACACATAAAAGTGAGATTCCTTTCTGGTACCTAGAACATAGAGTTTAGACCTCCAGCAGCTATCTTAGACTACAAGGTCATAAGCAGAGAAGCCAAATGATGATAATAGCATTTATCTTATCAAATCTCTTTCTCTTTTTTTAAGACAGAGTTTCGGGTTACCCAGGCTGGAGTGCAGTGGCACGATCTCAGCTCACTGCAACCTCCCCCTCCTGGGTTTAAACTATTCTTTCTCAGCCTCTTGAGTAGTTGGGACTACAGACATATGCCACCTGGTTAGTTTTTGTATTTTTGGTAGAGACGGGGTTTCACCATCTTGGCCAGGCTGGTTTCGAACTCCTGACCTCAGGTGATCTGCCTGCCTCAGCCTCCCAAAGTGCTGGGATTACCTGTGTGAGCCACCACACCTAGCCATCAAGTCTCTTATATACAAAAATGAACTGTCTGTTTTATGGCAACTGAACAAAATAGTGACTGATATAGGTCTATCATATAGTCCAAAGAACCTGCGTGCTCTGGGACATGAAATTCAACTTTGCTCCTCTGCAGAAATTCCTTCACTCATCTAAAGATTATATAGCCAAAACAAACTCATCAAAAAATACTAGCCTAGCATATAAGAGTAAAGGCTAGAGAGCAGCTCTGTCTTTGCATATTATCACTAACCCCAGCATCCTATCACTTCAATTCCAACTGTTCAACTCCAAGTGACTTCCTAAAAAGAAAAAACAGTATATTGGAAGATGCTATGTCATTTTATAAGTACTCATAAGTATACTAGGATCCCAAATGCAATTATTATTAATAATGGCAATAACAATGGATATCATGTATTGTTCAATACCATATGGCTACTATTATACTATTTGGCTAGCACTCTGCTGATATATGTTAACTAGAATTTGAAATAAATATCATCCCTATTTTACAGATGAGGAAACTGAGGCTGTGAGAGGTTAAATAATTTAGCTTTCATCACGCAGCCAGTTCATGGCAGGGATAATAGATGAACAGAATTGACTATAAGCTTAAATATTTTGGCTATAGAATCCTGTCTCTCAAAATAGTAGATAAAATAATCTTGAGAATCTTTATTTTCTTATTTTCGAAGCCAAAATAAAACATCCCATTCCTACCTCTAGTTTACATTAACATGAGCATTTCTTAAAGGAAAAAAACTGATAGAATTTGTCAACAAATGGTAAATAACCTTAGAACCCAAATAAAACAAATTCCAAATGTAGTTTTCCTTAATTTCACCTTTTTCTAACAGTTTTATTTCAGGGTATTGTATATATTTCCACAGAAAGGGTCATTGTGTACCTTTCCATCATTAAACATCAAAACAAAAAAGAAACACCATAATAACATATTCTTGGTTATTACATCTGTATGCCATTCCTTTTGAAACAGGGTTGATTTATTTTCCACCTCTTCATTGATATGAAACTAAAAAACACTGAAAGAAATCAAGCCCTTAAAGCATTCCTTAAATACATGAAGCATTTTAGCCAAGATTCAAAAAGAGTTAAAACAGAGAGAATAATTCAACCTTTCTATTAAAAATAAGATATATATATTTACATGTCTGTCTGTGTATGTCCACATGCAGGTATTTCCTTTAAAGATACATAATTAAAAATACAGTTATTACATTAAAAGTTTATATCATCAGAATAATATTTTCTTGGGCTGCTGAAAGCTAAAGAACTAAAACATTCCTATAAGAAAGTCAAACAGAAGATTAGAGCTCCCTCTTTCTTCTTTTTGAAGGAATTCAACAAAACTCCTCTCCTAGGAGACCAAAGTTATCAAGCAGCCAGCAGCCGAACAGCGCTCATGCTCAGAGCAAAACGTTTCCCCTGTCTCTGCACACATTACACATGCTTCAAGCATTCGAATACACTTACTGGTTGTTCACTATTCATAAGTTATTTAAGTAGTAAAAATAAAAGTACTTTTAAAAACAGAAATACTCACAAAGCCATTTCAAACTGCTCCAGCCATTTCTTCTTTAAATCTTTTGTTTTGCAATAAAATTCTAACCCATTTTGTCCTTGGGTATGGATGAGGTAGAAGCCATAAGACCACTGTTGAAATTAATATTCTTTAGAATCATATGTATCATTAATAGCATTATGTTTCTAAATTCACAAAAATACCTCCGTAACTGCCCAAAACCCCCTCATAATATTATCAACATACAAACTGAACAATCGCGCTTATTGTAGTCAACTTCACATTTACAACAATTTCTATTCCAAATGCATTTTACTATCTGGATCCGTAGGGCATTAGAAATAATCAGATCAGCTGTGGCATTATCCAGTTATTTCTCACAAAGGCATGTACCTGATCAATCTCTAGAAACAAAAACATCTGGAGGGATAAGCCACATCTCACATTATATTATGATACTTTTCCTGAATATTCAAGGTTATAAGTAAATTACAGTTATTAATTTCCAAAAGTCACCTTTTTATTTTCTTTATCAGTTGTAGGATTATTGGCTATCTTGTACTGCTGAAGATCTATTATTTCCTTCATTTCATAGTTATCACCCTTTCTCTTACATACGATCACTGCCAGATCAAATAAGAAGATATGCCTGTGAAAGAGAGATTGATTGATTGATTTTAAATGGTTTAGAAACATGTGCATTAATTTTTTTCTGGTAAGATATAATTAAAGCAACCAAATGTTTTTTTCTTTGCATTAAAGACAATAGGCAGAATCACACACTGAAAAGAATGGGGGATTTGAGGTTATAAGAACTGTCTGTATCCTGGAACTTCCCTTTACCATGTAAATGGCATCACTGTACCTTAGTTCCCTCATTTTAAAAACGGGCAAAAATCATAATAAGAGTAATATGCACACTGCAGAGTTGTTGAAAGGGCCAACTGAGGTAAGCCATAAAGTTTTTTCATGAGCACATACCTTTGTTTTTTATTTAAAAGCTAAAAACTTATAGAATACATTAATGACATCAGTAGCAGCTTCTACTGAAATTACTAGGAATCAGCCAGAATGTCTTGAGAAGTGTTGTTCATCCCTTTCCCAAACAGGACTCAATTGAAATCCCCAAGACCACATCCATTACCACATGGTAATGGGTAGATACCATTACCATCTTCATTTTGCTGGGGAAGAAACTGAGGCTGAGAGAAGCTAGCTAATTTGCTAAAGGTCACACTGCTAGCGAGGCATGTTAACAGGATTCATAAACAGGTCTAATTTCGGAAGCTGTGCTTTTACCCTCTATGTTGTTCCTCATGATTTAGTTGACCACTTAAAAACACAAATTGAATGGTTTCTGAGCAAAGCATAAACTGAAAAAGTTACGGTGAAATTTCCATGTTAATATTTCTTTTTTCTTATAAGAACAACGTAACTTGGGGGAGAAAATAAACTTTATAACCATATCTTCCAATACCAATACTTGTGCATTTTTATAAATTCTCAGTGGTTAACACACATACTTTTTTTTAATATACACAATGATAATGACACATTCACAGGGCTATAACACTTGCATCACTTTTAACATCTATTTCTCCCAAAGAGGTTTAAAGGACCGGTAGAGCCAGGGTATCAAAGTGGAAGCAAGAGCTGATGCTGCCCCCTGCTGGCTTTCTCTTCTCCAAAGACTCCAGAAAATGATCGTCAACCACAAAAAACATCGGTTTGAAGATCAAATATATACATAATCAATGATTCTGGGCCAAGCTTACTAAACTTCAACGACTACATCTGCAAATTTCCCTCAAGAAAAATTACTACATGATTCTCACGTAGTCTTCTTTCTTAGGGCATTTTTCTATTATTTTTAGTTATTTAAAAATACATTCCAAAAATTCGATTATGATTTTATGGTAGTTATCTGCTGTTACTTTATCTCTCTTCTCACTTTAACGTATCCTAGCTGATCATCTATACTTGTTAATTCCTTAATAACTTAAACAAATTAATAGATACCAGAACCCAGAATACCTAAGATAGTCTACATTTAAAAATTTTAGCCATCATGGGTTGGTCTGTCTCCTTGTATTTCTTCCCTTTTTCCTCTACTTCACACTGGAAGAATTGTTTTTAAGGTCTTCTCAGTTTTCTGACATGAAACTTATTTTCAAAATAGTATTCTTCTTTTCTCACCTTTCTTGTTTTGTATGCTTGTCTAGAGTGGTTATTCGAATTTCACCATCTCCCTGAGGTCGTCCAAAAAGCAAAACTGGTTGGTTCTAAAATATAAAATGTACATGTCAGAGTTTTTCATAATCACATGAAAATAAAAACAAATATTAGTAGAGACATTTGGTCAGGACAACTACCTTATTACATTACAAATTTTAGCATTTTTACATTTTTTAAGTATACTCACTCTAAAAAGCTCAGGTCTACATGATAAACCAGTCTGTCCTCTGTAATCCCAAGGGGTATATTAAGGACATCAATTGATTTTAATTAGTATATATTCTTAAAGGGGAAATTAGCTATGAAAAGAAAGACTCAACTGGAAGAATCCAAATTATGAGACAGTTCCGGCAACTAATATTTTTTGAGCATCCACTATGTACCAGCCACCGTTACAGGTACAGGGCAAAATGATACAGACAATGCCCTCATGAAGTAGACTGCCCAGTAGAGGAACAAATATTACAGAAGCATGCAATTACAAATGCACAATTGCCATGAAGGAGTACAGAAAGGGGGGCCTAATTTGGTCTATAAAGTCCAGGCTGGCTTTCTCGAGCTAGGACCTCAAGGATGAAAAGCGTGGACTTAATGACTTAAAATAATGAGCTATTTCCCTAGAAACTGATAATTAAATTATTATTATTATTATTATTATTTTGAGATGGAGTCTTGCTCTATTGTCAGGCTGGAGTGCCGTGGCTCGATCTTGGCTCACTGCAAGCTCTGCCTCCCAGATTCAAGTGATTCCACTATCTCAGCCTCCTGAGTAGCTGGGACTACAGGCACACACCACCAAGCCCAGCTAATTTTTTCTTTATTTATTTAGTAGAGACGGAATTTCACTATGTCGGCCAGGATGGTCTGAATCTCCTGACCTCGTGATCCACAGGCCTCAGCCTCCCAAAGTGCTGGGATACAAGGCGTGAGCCACGGCACCTGGCCAACTAAATTATTTTTAAATGTTTATGAGCACTTACTGTACATGCTAGGGGAAAAAACAAGTGACTGAAAATCACTACCATCCAGAAATTTCATTTTAATCAAGGACAGAGATATGTGATTAATTAACGCTATTATAAATACAAAATAAATGTTTCCTATCAAAATCCCAGCCATGTTTTCTGCACAAATAGAAAACTCCATTCTAAAATTCCTGTGGAATCTCAAGGGATTCTGAACAGTCAAAACAATCTTGAAAAGGAACAAAGTTGGAGGTCTCACAATTACTGACTTGCTTCCAAAACTTATTACAAAGCCACAATAATCAAAATCATGTGGCAGTGGCATACAAACAGGTATATAGACCAACGGAATAGTAGAGAGCCCAGAAATAAGCCCTCACAGTTATGGTCAAATAACTTTCAGCAAGGTTAAGACAGGGAAAAGAACAGCCTTTTCAACAAACGGTGCTGGGAAAACTGGATATCCACATGTAAAAGAATAAAGGTAGATACTTCATTACCTTATACCATTCATAAAGAATAACTAAAAATGTTTCAAATACCAAAATGTAACAGTTAAAACTATAAAACTTTTAGAAAAAAATGGGGGAAAGCGGGTAGGGAGTTGGGGAGGGATAACATGGGAAGAAATGCCAGATATAGGTGATGGGGATGGAGGTAGCAAATCACATTGCCATGTATGTACCTATGCAACAATCCTGCATGTTCTGCACATGTACCCCAGAACCTAAAGTGCAATAAAATATGTTAAATAATAATAATAATAAGGCCAGGAGCAGTGGCTCATGTCTGTAATCCAAGCACTTTGGGAGGCTGAAGCAGGCATATCACAAGGTCAGGAGATTGAAACCATCCTGGCCAACATGGTGATTAAAAAAAGAAAATGGGGAAAAGCTTTATGACACTGGATTTTGCAATGATTTCTTGGAGACTGATAAATTGGACTTTGTCAAAATTAAAAACTTTTGTGCATCACAGACAATATCAACAGAGTGAAAAGGCAACAGACACAAGAAAGTATTTGCAAACCAAGTGTCTTATAAGGGATTGATATCCAGGATATAAATTAAAAACTGCTACACGATGACAAAAAATAACTTGATTCAAAAATGGGAAAAGCACTTGAATAGACATTTTTCCAAAGAGGATATACAAATGGCCAATAAACACACAAAGACGACATTCAACATCATTAATCAGTAATAACATGCAAATCAAAAACACAATGAGATACTGCTTTAAAACCATTAAGATGACTATTATCCAAACAAACCAAATAGCACGCGTTGGTAAGGATATGGAAAAACGGAAACCCTTGTGCATTGGTGGTAGGAATGTTAAGTGGTACAGCTGCTGTAGAAAATAGTAGAGCAATTCTTCAAAAAATTAAACAGGATTACCATACAACCCAGAAATTCCACTTCTGAGTATATATAACCAAAAGAAGTGAAAGCAGACACTTGAATACATATTGGTATACCTGTTATAATAATAACATAACAATATTATTCAGAATAGCTGAAAGAAGGAAGCAACCCAAATGTTCATCAATGAATACAAAAAGTGAGGTATTTATATAAAATGATATATTATTCAGCCTTAAACACATAGAAATCAAAAAATAAAATTTTGACACATGCTACAACAAGCATGAACTGTGAACATTATGCTAAGTAAAATAAGGCAGTCATGAAATGGCAAATATTGCATGATTTCACTTACATAAGGTGCCCAGAGTAGTTAAGCTTATAGAGACAGAAAGTAAAATAGTAGTTTCCAGGGGCCAGGGAAAGAGGGGAATGTTTAATGGGTACAGAGTTTCAGTTTTGCAAGATGAAGTTTTGGATATGGTTACATAATATCGTGAATGCATTAAATGCCACAGAACTACACATTTTGAAAATCATTAGAATGATAAACTAATGCATACATACATATAGGTGTGTGTGCATATATATATATATTTTTTTTTTTTTTTTTTGAGCTGGAATCGGAGTCTTACTCTGTTGCTCAGGCTGGAGTGCACTGCAGCCTCTGCCTCTGCCTCCCAGGTTCAAGCAATTATCTGGCCTCAGCCTCCTGAGTAGCTGGGACTATAGGCACGCACCACCATGCCTGGCTAATTTTTGTATTTTTAGTAGATACAAGGTTTCACCATGTTGGCCAGGCTGGTCTTGAACTCCTGACCTCAGGTGATCCGCCTGCCTCAGCCTCCCAAAGTGCTGGGATTATGTGTGTGAGCCACCACACCTGACCAATGCTATATATATTTTACCACAGTTTTCAAAATGCTACACAGCTGTCTGAGAAATATGCTATGGAAATCCAAAGAGGAAAGACAATAGGAGATTAGGAAAAGTGATTTATTTCAGATGCACCCAGAATAAATTTGACAGGGAACAATAGGAAAAACCATTCTAGGCTCTGAGATTACTACAATCGAAGACAGAACTATAGAAATGTATGGCAAATTGGAAACCTTAAAATATAGCAAAATATCCACAATGTTAAGAGTAAGGGCAGTTATCAGCTGGATGAGTTCAGGAAAATAGCTTAAGTCCAGATCACTGAGAACCTTAAATATCATGCCAAGGAATACTGACTGAATCTTGAAGACAACAACAAAAAATCTTAACAAATTTGAGAGAGTGAATTCAGAAATCCACACTTTGGAACTGCAACTATGTGAAGAGATGATGAGGCTACTGTGACTGGAAGCTGCACAGTCAGCTGCAAGTGATGGTGTCCTGAAATGGGTATGCGGCTGTATGTGTGAAAAGAAAGAGACAGGTTCACAGTGTTTCCGAGAAGGCAGCAATGAAATTGCTCTACCAAAAATGTATCTTAAATCCACTCATCTCTATTTGCATCCTCTCTTGAAACCACTCCAACAGCTTGCTGGCCGGGCTGCCGGCTTACAGGGTCTTCTTGAAATGTCAATCAGTCTGTTGTAATACTCCCTGATAGAAACCTTTCACTAGCTTCCCACTGCCGTCACAGTAAAATCCCAACTCAGCATCTTGGCCTACAAGGCTGTGCTATGCAATTATTGCCCTGCCAACCCCTCACGGCTCAGAGCCTACCATCCTTCCCTTTACTCTCCATTTCCAGCCACTCTTACCTTTCAACTTCTTGAACACACTTGGCTCTTGCCCATCTCGGAACATTTCACCTGCTATGGCTTCTGCCCAGGTCACTTCCCCCCAGATCTTCGTGTGGCTGGCTGCTTCTTATCTTCCAGGTCTCACTCAAATGACTCAGAAGGATTTTTTTCCAACCAACTTATCTAAACGAGGACTCCCCTTATAATTCTCAGTTACAGCAGCCAGTTCACAGCACTAATTTCAATATAGCATTTTTAATTCTGTTTTTTTAGCTGTCTCCTTAATCGTGAGACCATCTTGTTTGCAATTACAGTCCCAGCCCCAAGCAGAGTATCTTGGTCATCATAGTCACTCAGCAAATATATGTAAAACAAATAAGTGAATAGGAAATGGCTGTGTTTATGTATAGGGATGAGGGAAAGAAAAGAAACAAAAACAGAAACCCCATCCTTCCGGGGGTGGGGGAGAAAGAGTAGAGGGGTGGGGGGACTAGGCGAGGAATAGCATTAGGAGAAATACCTAATGTAGTGACAGGGTGATGGATGCAGCAAACCACCATGGCACATGTATACTTATGTAACAAACCTGCACATTCTGCACATGTACCCCAGAACTTAAAGTATAACAAAAAAATAAAATATCACCTATATCTTAAAAAAAAAAAATGGACTCCCATGTTTAGATTCAGACTGCCGGGAGAAGAGGCAGAGTGTGACTACAGGAAGAGGGACAAGTCATCACAAAGTCCCTAGACAGGGACAGGTCGCACGTGCCCCAGACACCCGCAATGAACACTGCCAAACACAGGGACTGCAACAACCTCCAACAGAAGACACTTGAAGGTAAACTATCTTCTCTTCAACGACAACTCCTAGAATGCTGTCCAGTGATGTGGGGGTGAGAGGAAGCTGGATAGAAAGATAATTACATACCAAATTCTCTATAGATAGCTGAAACTGTTTAATTTCACGAAGGGTCTCATTATCTCTTTTCACTTCATTCACATATTGTGCCAAGTCCTAGACAATAAAGAAAAGGGTAGAAAAAGAAGGCACACTAAGATGAGAGATGCAGACTGCTTTGAAAGAAAACACATCATTAGTTCCATTAGTGGTAAAATAAACCACCATAACTTTTCAAAGACAATAAAATGAATGCCCAGTCAATCAAAGCTGCATCACAGAGGCAATTTTAAAATGTCTGAAGTACAGCTGGGAAGACTGAAGAGCTGTCATTTGTCACACTGCTGAGAAGAGTCAGGATGGTGTTGCCTCAAAAGACAAAACAAAACATACTGCCATTGAGCAATAAAAAGAAAACTAGGTCAGAAGAATAGAAATTCCAAGCACGTTAATTACTGACCTTGAGAGCATGGTATTTTTACACAGGTTAGCATAAGGGCAATCATGAAGGATTAGCAGGGAGAAAAGTAACCAAAAGTTACATAATGAATTTAGCATGACTTTTTTTTTTTGCAACCAGTTAAAGTCCTCTTGGTTCCTGAGAACATTCAGTCAAGGAAGCCAGCTCAACTTTAAAGAGTTAATCCATTTATGGATTCAGGAGAAGGAAAGGAGAGGTGAGGAACTAAATAGCACAACATGCTGGAACTAAATTTAATTCATGAATTAAAGTGAACAAAAAATGCTGGCTGTGTCTCTCCATGTGCCTTCACCTATTTTAAAACGCCTTTTCTCATATTTGAGGAAACATTAGCTAATCTCTCCATACTGTAACTAGCTATTTTTGTTACATGCGCTCCAGATTTTCCTGTTTTCTGAGCTTTTTCTTTTTTCTATACCCTCTTAAATTCATCTGCAACAGTAGGGACAGAACTCTGCAAAAAGCAATTCCTAACTCTGTTCTAATTGGAAGTCTGACTTTTCATAGGCTAGATCCATAAATGACTTCTTTTAAAACTGAAACTTGGTTTGGCTTTTTAAGTAGCAAAAAAAATAATAAATAATTGTGTGATGTTTCCTAGTGGCAGACAATCAGCCAAACAGCAAAGCTAACACGAATTCTTACAAGGACACAGTTAAGTAATTATGCACTGCTCTGAGCAGGGTCACCTTGCCATTTTGTTTTTAAGAACAAATATTTGCCTATGTTTAAGTTATGGGCAAGTATTATTTCGTTTCAAAGTCACTTTTATTCAACATAATGTGGAAACTGAGGTTTTATATATTCCCCAGTAGGTTCAAAATGTCTGTTTTTATCTACTCCTAGTTCTTGATCTTCATATTTACCTGAAAACCTAACAAACTGAAATTCACGTGTATTAAGCCACAGCAGCCACAAGGGAAAACCTGGCAGATATCCTCATATGAGGAAAATAAGTCACATGGGGTTCTGAAGCCACGCGCTCGCCTGTAGCTTACACACGGCAATGTTTTCTATTAGTCACCATGAAAAGAATGGGAAATAAAACCATTACATTAAATAATTCCTCATGAAATTCACGAGGTTATGAAATTCTTGTGGTTATGAAAGTTGTTATACTTGCATGAAAGTGATTTTAATATATGTCTTAGTATTATGATGTGTTGTCTGACAATTAACTCCATGCAAGGATATCTATTCCAGTTAAAAAAAAATGCAGCTGTCCCCACTAAAAATAAATGTGTATTATACATCAGTATCTTATAATATTTTACATATATATATATATTAGCAGTTTGAATCTTTTGTTTTTAGGCAAGAATAAAAAATACAAACAAGTTATTGATAAATCTGTCCTACCTTCATGGCATCGAGAGCCAGTTTTAGATTCGCCTTCTCAGTCGGATCAGTGGTATGTTTGACCAGTTCCTAGGTGGAAGATATAGTTTAGTACTGCTTTCATCAAATTAAAACTAAGACATACTAAATAAAATATTTTTACAAGTAAACCATTATTATTGGTTTTCTCTCTATAATGTAATAAACCTAATATGCCTGGATCCATTTCCATTCAAACTGTAAGAAGACCAACTAGACACCAAAAAATCATGAGACTCAGTATGAGGCATTTTCTTTTCAAAGATGAATCTGAATTCTATCCACCGACATTACACTGACATTGATCCCCATTGTTATGAAAGATTCCATAATGGCTAACTCAAATCATACGCTTTACTCATCTTGACTCCTGGCTTCTCTACAGCTTTCGATTCCTTTGACTGCATCCCTCCTTTCATTTCAGGGACGTTAGGATGTTCCGTTTCTTGTTGTTATTGCTGTTACAGTCGTTCATCTGTCCATCCCAAATTTCTGCCTGGTCCTCAGTCTTTCATAGTTTCTTATCTGCTTCTTAGAGAGTTATTGTTCCTTGGATTTCCACCCTAGTCCTCTTTTTTCCCATATTTTACATACCCTACAAATTCTATCACAACCACTGTCATAATGTCAGCTATCACTTCACAGGACAATCACTGTCAAATGTATGTGCTCAACCCAAAACTGATGCATGAGTTCTGGACTCATCTGTCCAACTAAATGATTCTACTTCAGCATTTCAAAGGCTTCTCAAATCCAACATTCCACAAATTTAATCCGTCTTTATCCAGAATCCAATTCTTGATCCTGTTTCTATTTTACTGAAAGATGGCACTTCCATGAGTATACTCACTTAAGCCAAAACCTAAAAGGTGTTCCAGATTTGTCCCTGTTCTCTCTCTCTTGTCCTACTGATGTCAACTTTGATCCTGCCCCTTGAAACCATCCTCACCGCCATTAATTAGGTTCAGATCCTTGCCCTTTTTCAAACAGATAATTACTTGCCAAGCACAGTGGTTCATACCTGTAATCCCAGCACATTTCCAGGGTAACATGGGAGGACCACTTGGGTCCAGGAATTTCAGATCGGCCTGGGCAAGATGGCAATACCCCATCTCTATAAAAACCTTTTAAAAATTAGCCTGTAGTCTCAGCTGCTTCGGAGGCTAAGGCAGGAAGGCAGCCTGAGCCCAGCTGCAGTGAGCCATGACTGCACAACTGCACTCCAGGCTGGACAAGAGAGAAAGACCCTGTCTCTTAAAATAAACAAACAAACAACAACAAAAATCAGGTAATCATAATGGTCTCTCCTCACTCCAGTCCAGTCACCCTATTGACATCAGGTGTAGGATTCTCTAATATAAATCAGATCCTGTTTCTACCCCACTCAGACTGCTGTGATGCCCCACAAAACTTCAGGTTGTCACCCATACCTCCTAGACTCCTCATGATCTGAAATCTGCAAAACTTCTCTCAAGTTCTCTTTCCATTTCCCCCCAAACAACTTATATTCTATTCAGACTAAATTAATTACAATTCTTAAAATATGTTCTAATATCTAATCCCATCAGAAATTTTGTTTTTTCTGCTTACAAAGCTCTTTCCCTCTGATCTGCTTATTGATCTCTTACTCTTTCTTGAAAGCCCAACTCAAGAGTTACTCCTCTGGGGGGTCTTCTATGACAGAGGCCTCTGCTCATGTCCCCAGATTCCTTATGGGGAATTACTTAGGCCTTTTACTGTGCCAGTTCTGGACCTTATATGCACCTATCCTACTGTGTTACCTGGGAGCTTACACTTCGTCTCTAAAAGATAAACTTTATCAGAGTAGGGTCTGTCGTATACCATGAGTGCCTAATACTATGTTGGCACAGGGAAGCCACTCAAAAATCTTCAATGAACTCAATACTAGTGTTTCTGCTATAAACAGGACCTAAAGACAGAATCTGTTCAATATAATCAATCTGTCAAAATTCTATTCTTTTATTCCTTAAAAGTTACTTTTACTGAATTAAATAAAAATCATTAAAGTTCCCAGTCACCTACTATAAAATATTCTAACTTTGTAAATCTGTGATTTCAAATCATCGAGCGTTTCAAGTGACTTCGCCACTGAAGTACAGGAGTAAGTAAAAAAAAGTCCAAACTGATACTCGCATTTGTTCAACAAATTTATAGACAACAAATAAATTTTACTCCATACTCTTTTGAAATGGAAGACACATTTCTAGAATTTTTATCTACGTGTAGTATACAAAATAAAACTTCTACTATTTTAAAAAGTCATCATGGAACTAAACATACTCTTAAAATTTTAAATATAAAATAACCCAAGAAAAATTAGGGGGAAAAGTTTGCTGAATTTCAAAAAAGTATGGTTGTATTTCATACTTTCATAAGTCTGTGTAAAACCCTGTAAGGACCAAAATGGGTATTTTTTTTTACAAGCTATATCTTCTAAATTCTTCAATCAATATTTGACTGCACGAATGTTACAAAATAAATTATTATCTTATTTTGGTCATGTTTTTAGTTCCAGGATGCCTTGGAAACTGATTGCCTGAGTCGTTCTTATTATTTTTTCATAAAATCCAATTTGATTAAGTTGCTTTGAGTTTAGGTCTCATAAATGTTTTAATGCATTTTTAAGGAATAATCAGGGTTTGAATTTTTCTGATTTCTCAGTAGAACAAAAATAGAGATGACTAATAATTTTGCAGCTACAGTTCAAGAAATTTAATATACAAGATATACAAAGCACAGCCAACACAAAATTATATTTCACATACAGGTAGTATATCTTTTTAAAATGACATTTCACAAGCATCAGCAGAGTTGACAGACTAACACAGTAAGATATTTCTTTGGAGCAGAACTAATGAGTCTCCTGGTATAGCTATCAAATTAAATTTATAAGACTCTCCACACTCATTAGAAGACTAACCGTGGAAACCACAAGCTTTGTGGGTTATAACAAGAAGGACTTCAAAGTAAATGTAGTCTTATTATAATTTAGTAGAGTAGAAAGCAATATGGAATGTGACACAATCTCTTTAGCTTACTGTTATAAGGCAAAAGGTCTAATATGATTAATCTGCCTAAATTCAAGTGCACTGCAACACTGAGATGCTCATAAATGAATACTGATAACTACAGATGACTTGGTTGAAAAAAAAATTTATTTATTTTGACTTGTTTTTAATTACATTCTAGTCAGTCCTGTTTTAAGGACACAAAATGTGATTTATGGCAACTACTGAACCATCTTTGCTAAAAAGAAAAAACTGTCCAGCTGTTCTGTGATTTCCCTCTTAGCTATAATAATAATACAAAATTTTAAGGGGATTGGGCCCAACACATGGAATATCTGCAGTGTAGTTGATGCTTCATTAATATTTCGCTGAGTGAATAAATGGACAATAAACAAACTGTTTTAAGTTACATACCTGGAGGAGAAGGTGGTACTTCAAAACACGTTGCATAGGAACCACAAGCAAGTCTCGAAGAGTAAATTTCCCATTATTTGCTCTTTTGGAGCATTCCTAATGCAATATTTTTTTTAAAAAAACTTTGTTAGGGAGTCACAAAAATTAAAAGCTGCCAAGGCCATAAACAGAACAGTTGTTATACAATAAATAAGTGTGCTTGTTTCCTTAACAATCCTACTCTGTAAATAACAGAAAATATCTTCAATTAAAAAACAAACAAATCCTGTAGTATTTTAACTCCCAATATGAACCAAATAGAACTATTTTGTGTATGAAAATTATTTTCTGTAGTGCAAAAGCATCCCCCCGCCCACCCGCAGGGTCTTCTTCAGTTCGTCTCTATTGCTGTAACTCCCACCGATGTCTCCCAGTGGACTTACAGAACAGGCATCAAGAACACATCCCTACTCATCAAAACTGTCATTAGCCTTCCCACCCTTATGCCTTGGTTTATTCAGCTCCCTCAACTACAATGTGCTTTGTTCAGCCTCCAGAAAAAGGTATCTTCCTGTTTAAGAACTATAATTCTAGGCCTTTTATAATAATTACAATCAAAATTGTGTACACTCTCTGTCTTGTCTTTTAATTATTATCATACATGATATCTCCCCCAACATAATTTGTGCTTTATGCCTCTAAAAAATGTAGTGTTTGCTTAATAAGTATTTACTGAACTGAATGAAATATTTGACTTTAAAACTCTGCTGAAGTATAAACCTACTACTAGACTCCAAGTTTTTAGAAGCCTCAGATTGTATTTGTTTTTTTTAATTTCACACTTTTCTTTCCTAAAAGTTTATTTTAAAATAGTATTGTCTAGTTTGCTCTTTTGATAATAACTATGACTTTGAGAAAATTACTTTGAACTTGAAGTGTCAAAGAATAAATATAAAGCCAAAAGTGGGCCACTCTTGGTGGTGCAACCTTGGACAAGTCACTTTTCTGATTTTACCATTTCTCACATAACTATGGTGTTCTTCAAAAAAAATAAATAAAAAGCTATACAAACATAATTATTAGTGAGCAACCTCGTAAGTCAAAAATCCTCACACAATTGCACATCCCAGCCCAAGGACCTTTCCAGTTCATGGGTGGAGTTGTGCTTAAGAAAATACACTTTTGCTTACAAGTTTGTTCTTCTTTGCCCACACTTAGTTTTTCTGGCACATGGAATGATATATTATCAGGGGATCCAAAACAAACACAATTAACTCCAGCAATCAGTGATTTAATGAGTATGTTTGACTACCGATATTAGGCAAAATGAACTGGGGACACATCCTAACATGTTAGCTGTGTCATCAATTGCTGCAGTTCATTAGAAGGACAACTATTTCAACCAGTTTCTTACTTCTACAGATTGCAGAGAGCTCTGAATCATGGGTCTCAAACAGGAAGTTTAATTGTTTATTTACTGTAATGAGTGGGTCTTATCTCTTCAGCTCTTAAGTCTCCTGGAATTAAGGTTATGGCTTATATTTCTTACATTATGCCATCCCAATACGCTGTTAGGAACAGATATATTATACACTTAAAATTTACTATGTTAAAAATATTAGTTTCAAAACTTTGGAGGAAAAAATACTAGTTCCTTTACGATCTAAGTTACAGGCTCAGGAAGTAAAGAAACTGAAATTGTCGGCATTCGCTATACCTGGGAGACAGAGGGTGAAGTGGAAAATGCTTATTAGTGTTGAAAGAATTCTTTCAAAACATCCAGTACCTTGCTTAGCCCCAATTCAATTGTAAAGGAAACAAAAATGGGGTAAGATGAGCCAGGCTTATAGGGCAACATAAATACACTCTTCACCCCTCACCCCATGTTATCTTGGTTCCAAAGTAGAGAAGAAAAAGACAAAATAAAATCAACAAGAACAAAAATAACCACAAAACAGAAGACACAAAGAAGGCAGAAAGACACCAAGAATGAGGCAGTTTTCCTTCTATCATGCTGTGGCTTGTGGGGAGCAGTTCCAACTGAGTATTTGTTGAAGTGTTACATTAAGTATCTGACTTAATACTTTCAATTCAGGACTATGGTTAGAAGTGTGGGCTTTCAAGCTGAGGACAGAACAGGCAGGGGCACCTCACCCTGTGCCTTTCAAACTCAGCCTGAGGTCCTCTCTTTCCCTAAGATGAACATTGACTCCAAAAACTACATACTTAGAGTCCCAGAGTATGCCCATTGGGCAAAACTTTGACAGTAACTGTGAAAGAAGGAAGAACAACATTCATACAAGACTGAGAATATAATGGAGGTGTGATGGACGACTCGCTCACTCCTATCTGGAAGCACAGTTTTATATCTTTAAGAAAAACTGCTTTAATGTTGTTCTATCAGGAAGTAGGTATACGAGTTGTAAAGTTTTATCATCATATTTTGAGTCACAGTGGCTCACAGCTGTACACTTAGGAGGCTCTATTCTCCAAAGAGGAGCAGGAACTCTTTCCACTAACAATGTTACAAGGATGTTATTTAGTGGTTACTCAGACTACCTCCAATCTTCAAGTCAGCATAATGAAGGAATATTAAGGTACAAAGCAAAAGGATTATGTATCTATTACAGTTACTCGGTGGCCTGCTAATGTGCAAACTGTCTAAGCAGTAGTTTCTCTTTGAGGGAGTTATGAGCTCTGAAATCATGCTAGAGAGGCAAAACAATGAAGGGCTTCTGATTTGAAAATTATCTGCTCCTTGTCTTCTGACTCCAGTGCTACAGTGAACAAAGAATGGGAAAAGGGATTTTAAAGAGGCAAATGAGCCACACACCATTATTTAAGAGCTGGCTATATATCTCTACCTGAAATGTAAGAAAATTCAAATACATGAATATCACATTTAGGATGATAACTCATATGACAATCATTTTTCAAAAGTTCTTGGAAAGCATGAACTCCCCTTCAGAAAAAAGTATGATGTACATAAAACATAACATGGGTTTCCAGACATATAGTCTATTGTGATCAGGTACTCTGTTTATACTAGCCTACTTGCCATTTCTCAAACTTTCCCAACTCTTCTGGTCAAGACATACCAATTGTTCAGGAATGCTCTCCATAGAATCTGATCTGTCAAAGCTCATCCCACTCTTTGGTGATGTAACTCAAATGCTGCCTTTTCAGATGAATCTTCTACAATCTCCCCACACTCAAGTTGGTAGATACAGTCTTACAGAGCCCTATTATACAGGGCATCTCACGTGCTAATTAATTCTATCATATTTGTGTTTGTCTTCTCTTCCTTCTTGTGGGTAATATCCATGTCCTTTTAATACACTGGCCTCTAAATGTCTTATTTTTAGTAAACATCTCTCTTATTTTGTTGTTTTTGAGACAGGTTCTTGCCTTTTCACCCATGCTGGAGTGCAATGGTGCCATCATAGCTCACTGAAGCTTCAAACTCTGGGGCTCAAGTGATCCTCCTGCCTCAGCTTCTCAGGTAGCGAGGAGCCACCTTGCCCAGGCATGAACCACCTTGCCCAGCTAACTAGTAAAGATTTTAAATCTACATATACAATATCTAGCATATCTTACTAGTCCTGCACCTCTTACTGTCTATGCTAGTTACTCATAATCTCTCTGAACTTCAGCTTTCTCATCTTATTGATGAATGGTACCTATCTCACAGAGTCAGAAGGACCTAATGAGATAATGCATATAAAACACAGGGCCATAAATGTTAGATTTTACTACTGTTACTATTACTACCATATTAGTACTCTATAGAGCTATTTAAATGTTTTATAAAATTGATGTGAAATTCTATTTAAAATACTGGGAAATGTACTGTTGCACTGATCATAAAGAGGAATACATTGCTTTTAGGTTTATTTTGCTTTATGTCACAAACAAAAAGTAAATAGGCACCTCTAATTTCAGTTTGACATCTTCTTTTGTCTTAGAAATGTAGTCTAAACTAGAGATGGCTGACTCCACTCCACTGCAGTACTGCCCATAAATAACCAATCTGAAAGGGAAAAAGAGGAAGAAATCTGTAAAACATAAAACAAGAATGAACTGGAGGGGGAAAAGGCAGAATCTTCATGTCTTTAAAAGTATAGTTAGGGATAACCAAAATAGCAGTAGAAATTATTTTTAATATACATCACATACACAGTCATAGAATGAGGGTCACTCATTTTTATATTAATGACTAATTTTTAGTGTCAACTTTGAATGAGATTAATTCTATGTACATTTTGATAGCAGGTAGAATTTACAAACTGGCTTAATGATTGTTAATGTTATTTGCGTATACATAAATGCATCTCAAAAACGAAATTAAAAATTTCTGTTAAAGCTCTTATTACAGATAAATCTTTTTATCTCTAAACACAAAGTTTTATTTTCCACTACAATTTCATGGCAATCACTACGTACCACTCCTTCATTAATCAATCTACTCCTTGCTACTTTTTAAGGAACATAAATCATCTGGAGAGAGGAAAATGAGAGACCTGAACTGTGCTGGACAGAAGACACCTCATATCACATGGAATCTGACCCACTTCAGGGAAGGTATCTCTGTAGTAATACAAGCATTTTGTAAAAAGTTCAGTTGGTTTATTCTTTCTCTTAACTCTCCACTAGAAAAAAACTACTAATACAATGTGAATATTTATCAAAGACTTGATGTAAAGCTATTAATTAGCCACCTCTTAGTACTAGGAAATATGTTGCTTGATTTGAAAAGAGAGATAATTATATTTTAAGTAAAATTTCCTGATACTCCAATTCATATAAAATTGTCAGGAGATTTTTGTTTTAACTTAGAGAGAGAAACTGACCCTGAGAATCTAATACTCTAAAACAGAGAGGTCATAAAATACTAGAGTTGGATGAAAAGTGAAAGCATTAGGTACCAGCCAATCTACCTCCAGTGTTTACAGATGGGGACAAAGAGGCTCAGAGAGTTAAAAATGACTTACTGCAGATTATGTTGCTCAGTAATGATAAAGCCTATAAAAGAATCTCAGTTTTTTAAATTTGAAATGCAAAAAAAAATAAGGACCATATTGGGTCCTCCCCCGCCCCTTTCTTCTTATTCTTTTTTTTTTTTTTAAGTACACGTACAGAACTCAAACTACCACTCTGAAAGTAACTGTCTCATGTTCTAATTATTGCTAGGTAGTAGTGAAATAAACAGTAGTCATAGCTATTTGTTAGCTATTTTAATACTAGCCTTTATTATAATTACAAACTAAGGCCCACAAAACTTAAACTTCAAAAGTTACCTTTCCTTGTAGTTAATAAAAACTTGGTACAAATTCTGGTCATTTTTATTTACAATGGAATCATGAATCTCTTGCATTAGGTTCCGATGAAGTTTTACAAGTTCCTAAGAAAACAATGTGAAAGGAAAGTAGGAATCAGAACCAAAAACTATGCCTCAAACCCAGAATCCCTTTTGTTGCTAGACTTGCCACTCAGGATATGCTGAATGCTCTCAATACATAAACTGCTTCCACTAATAAAGAAAGAGGGAAAAGGAGAGGGAGGGAGAGAAAGGGGGAGGAAGGGGAGGAAGCAGAGGGAGAGGACAGAGTAGAAGAGGAGGAGGGGGAGCAGGGGAAGGAAGGGAGCAAAAAGAAGGAAGATAAGAGGAAGGCGGAGGAGAGGAAGGGGAAGAAAGGGAGACAGGCCATGCAGATGGAAAACAGCAATTTCAGATCTGACTTGAAATGTCAGTGTCCTGTGAAAGAAGAAATCATCTCACTAGTTATTAAAGGATAATTTATTCCTTGTGTGAAAATATGTACAGCTCATTTTTGTTTTATAATCATTGTAAATTTTTAAATAAAACTGTCCAAGTGCCTAATGTTTTATTGACAGGACAAAGTAATGACTCATGTCCTTGTGACACAGAAATGTAGATTTGTACTTTGGTCAATAAGTGGTGTCCTGGTGCTAAGCTAACAATAATCAGACTAAATTACTTGAAACCAGACAACTAATGGCATAAATAAGGAGCAAATAAATTGTATTAGTTTACTGGAGCAACTCAAAATGTCAGAATTTCACATTTTACCCAATAAGCAACTAATTTTCAGTCAAGCAGTAAATACAAGTCACAGCCAGGACATGAGGCAACTTGAACTAGGTGCCAGTTCTCCCATTATCTCATCCTGTGTACCTTGGAGCATGTGCTGACTCCACAGCATGCTCTTTCCTTAGTAGGGTGGAAAGTAAACATGAAGATGTGGGCTCTAAGTTATAATGACCATACTTAAGCGGTCCAAGATCCTTATCTTTCCCAAATGTGCAGTTTGTTTAATGCTAAACTTTCATCTGATATTGTGCATGTTATAAATCAACAAGAATTTCTTCATTCAGCCAAAATGAGAGATAAGGATGGCATGCCATTGCTTACCAAGTGCTGCTGAGCAACACAGAACACAACAGAATCAAAATATAAAGAACTGCTCAGGAAATACAAAGAGGCCTGTGCATAAAAGCTTATACACATTCATCATGTATGTGTGCACACATGTATGGGGGTAGGGACATATAAACCAAATTAAGTCCTAGAGGTCTGAGAACTTGAATCTTGCCTAGCATTACCTCACTTGGCATGGCATTTAACTTGCTTCTAGATTTCTGGGCAAATATCCTTTTAAGATTGTAAGCTTCTGGTAAGGTGCCCTGAAACTTGAAATGCTTACATAAATGTCAATGAAAAAAAAAAACTCCTCAAACTTTACAATTAAAATAGTCTGTCAAATCATAAGGAAGTAGTCTATTTCAGAAGTAGGAGTTAACGGTGGATACAATTGGAAGCAGAAAGCACCAAACAGTAGAAGCTGAAGACGTGGAGGAATGGAGGAAAGTAGGGGAAACTGACGTAGTGAGGACATCACCTACAAGACAAGGTCTGAGGAGCTGGAAGAGCAACAGAGCTCCACAGGGAAGTGTGGGGTGGAAGGGGACCCCCAGATTATTTGAGACTACTTCTTCATAACAAACAGTCAAGAATAATACATAAAATTCATGTATCCATTTGTGTTCTTCATACATGCTGACTGACTTTTGGTTAAAGATATGATACATCAGTTATTTCAAGAAAACAGGATATAGAAACTAGAAAAGCAAAATACTAATAACAATAATAATAACAGGGCCAAAATTCTTAAAGAATACAGAACAGTGTTAAAATAAGGATCCGGAACCCCCTAAGGAAATGAGGATTTTATCAAAGTATACTGCAATTTTAGCTAGCATATTTTTACTTACAGGAATGTTGATGAATACTGAATCAAATTCTGCTGCTGTCAGAAATCTTTTTAGTGGCGCCATGAAATACTAAGAGGAAAGAAGAAAATAGTAATTAAGTATAACTCATCCCAATCTATACAATAGTTTCTCACCAACAAACAACAAATATTTTTTGAAAATCAGTTGTTGATCAGCATTATAAACACCAAAAAAAGTAGAAAATATTTTCTCTAAAAATTTTACAAGTGAAGAGAGATATAAAGACATAAATATAAGCTAATATTAATACATTTAAAGTATAAAATAAAAAGGTTTAGACAATAAATGCTTTCAAAAGGAAGGAAGAATGCTGCTGTCTGAGTTGGCAAACAATGACAACATTTTAAGATGTACATGAAGACGTACACAGTAACATGTCTCAAATATTTTGTGGAGATTCTAGATCTCTGAGCTCAATAATCTATGTATACAGTTTATGAATTATTCCTTGAGAATTTTAGTTTCTGGCCTACCATATGTCTTTCATTCTTGGCATTCTCAGAATCTGTGCAAAGGATCCCTCCAGTACTGGTCTCTAAGTTCCTTGACCACAATAATCTTGTGCTCCACTCTAGCTCAACTCCTAAATCTTACGGCATACCCACAGACTTCATCACCATCAACAACGTCATATGCTCCATAGCACTAACTTCAAGGAATCAACTCTCTAACCACAACCTCCTACCTTTACAGCTTACTCCTTCAAGGAAGGATTCAGCCCTATGGGGTGAGCCAATTCTCTAACTGTCCCACCTCCCTCATGTTGTCATTTCCTTCCCAACCCAGTTTATACTCCATGAATTGCTTCCCTACAAATACTCTTGCCCTCTCTTCTTCTGTTGTGCTTTTCTAGAAAAACAAATACCCTGATCAAATCTAGCTTGCCACATATTTTTTTGCCTGTACCTAAGAAGTTAAGCATGGACATTACTGATAGTCTAATTTTAAATATGACCGCAAAACTCAACTGTGCCTGTAATGCTACACAGTGCTACTACAGTTCCCTAGGTAATTTAGTCTCCTACTCTTCTAAATGATGCTTCCATAACTTCACTTCTTTCCCTAATCTCTAGATGTGAGAGTCTCGAGAGGTGGCCTCAAACCTCTTCCCTAACATGTATTCCCTGGGTGATCTCACTTAGTCCCAGGGCCTTCATGCCATTGTGTGATGATAATGGCCCAATCTATACGTCAATTCAATCTTTCGCCTTAATGCCTCAGGTTTATATACCTAACACCCTTCTCAAGGAATCCCACTGGAAGTCTAATAGGTATCACAAATTTCACAGGTTCTAACAGATTCCTGACTTCCAAGCCTGTCCTTCCCCATCTCTGTAATCTTCGCTGTTCTTGCAATTGCTCATACCAAAACCTACCAGTCATCCTTGACTTCTTTTTCTCAGATCCTTTACCTAATTCATCATCCAATCCAGCTGGCTCTATGTTTGAAATTTATTCAGAAGCTGACTACCCATCCCATCATTTTTGTCATCTTTATTAACACAATTTTCTTCTAATTCTTCTCCTAGTTACAACTCTTGCCTCACAAGGGCCAAAATGAGAGTTTAAAGACTTAAATTACATCAAGTCACTTCTTCTCACAACACTTCCCAATGTCCCTGCGTGGCCTGGAGGCCCCCAGCTCTCCCACCTCATGCTTAGTCCCCTTCCCTTGTTCTGCTCCAGCCACACTTGACTGCTGCTGTCCCTGAAGCATGTGCTGAACACTTTCCCTCTCTCCCAGGAATTATCTTCACTGGCATATGTGCACAGCTTATATTCTCAATTCACTTAGCTGCCCATGGAATCTTGTCATGGAGGCCTTCCACTACCACTCTTTATAAAATGCCACCAGCCCTCCCCAATCACTATCTTATGCCCCAGCCTTATTTTTCTTCAGGAAACTTATGACCATCTGGCATATTTATTTGCTTAGATTCTAAACTTTCCCATGGGAAAAGTGTCATTGGAGTTTTGTTGTATTTATTACTAGAACTTTAGTCCCTGAAACAGTGCCATTCAGGTGCTAAGACATCCATAAATAGTTGTGAAATGAATAAATCTGCTTTGAGATCTTTAAATAAAAAGATCTCCTAAAAATTGGAATATTCTACATACATTCAGAAGAAACAGTGAGTCTAATATATTAACTATATTAGGCAGTATTTGGACATCAAAGATAATACCCGATGACTTACTTTCTCTATAGACTCCAAAGTTTCTGTGTATTTTTCTTCTGTCTGCTTAATTTCTGCTAGACAACAAGTTCGTATATCATTTTCTGGACATTTCTGCAGTTAGAATTATGAAAATAAAATGATTTAATAAAATTCATATAATAACCAATCAGGAAGTAGAGATATAAAAGCATCGCTAATTTTCTTAAACTTTCCTTTCTAATAAAACATGCAATTAAGACACCTAAGTGCATTTGCGAGGTATCTTTGCTGTTTTTACAAGATCTTGAATGATGTAAATGAAAAAGATTTAGATTAAAAAATATGCTTCTGAATGTAGACAGTTTCTTTAAGTTAAAACATCTTTTAATAAAAATGTTAATGAAATTGGAGTACAGCATGCTTTACGAATACTATAGAAATAACTGCAAAAACAATAAAAGGGTATTCAGTAAAGTAAGTAAAAAGCTTTAATATTTTTCCCAACATTATCATTTCACTGCCTGACTTTTTAACTAAGTATTTAAGATTGGAAGTGGTAGAGCGCAACACTCAAATCAAAGATTCTGGAATCTGATGGAACTGGGTTCAATACCGGTTTGGTTATTAGCTTTTCTAACTGTGAAGGAATCACTAAATTTCTCTGTGACTCAGTTTTCTTATCTATGAAACAGAGAGAATTACAGTATCAACCCTAAGGAATGGTAAATGACATAAACAGTGTAAAGCCCTTAGCACTTTGCCAAGTGCCCACGAAGAGTCCTGTCCATCTAAATTGTTATCACTGCTCACCCCATCAGCTGAGTGAGGACTGCCCTTGGGGGAGACAGTGAAAAATGTGCTGGCATCCAATGCAGTTAACAAGTATAGGAGGAACAGACAATACTGTGTCAACTAAAAACGTTATGAAAATGCTGCCACAAATGATCTGTCAGCATGGGCAGTGGTTAAAACACACTTTCATTATATTTCCCGAACACAGGCAGGTACTCGTTTCCATTCCACAGAAGCTACTGGACAACCCACCAGCCTTTTATTAAAAGTAGAAGCATAGAGAATACTGAGCACATTCATCAAAGCACTGTGGAAACAAAAATTACCATGCAGCTGATGAAGAAAAGTCTTCAATATACAAGAAAAATGTATTAAGAGCATAAGCAACTGACTTTTTTGTTGTTTCAAATTGTAAGTGGGAAAATAATCCAAAGTAATCCTTTCTGAATGTTCTAGATATATTAATAGCAGATAATGTTTTGAGGACTCATATTGGCTACGACAATGTCTGAAACTGAATTTACAAAATAGAAGGAAAGCCAGGAGGCTTATCATGAAACACAAGAAAAATGGTACTACATAGTAATACTTAACAAATGTGAAGAAACACTCCTTAATATATATTTTATCTTATATCAAATTTAAAGGGAAAAAATTACCTATGTTGTAAGAAATTTACTTTTATAAGTGTATAATTTTGGCCAGGTGTATGGCTCACGCCTGTAATCCCAGCACTTTGGGAGGACGAGGCAGGCGGATCACCTGAGGTCAGGAGTTTGAGACCAGCCTGACCAACATGGAGAAACCCTATCTCTTTTAAAATATAAAATTAGCTGGGCATGGTGGTGCTTGCCTGGAATCCCAGCTACTCGAGAGGCTGAGGCAGGAAAATCGCTTCAACCCAGGAGGCAGAGTTTGCATTGAGCCGAGATCGCGTCATTGCACTCCAGCCTGGGCAACCAGAGCAAAACTCTGGCTCAAAAAAAAAAAAAAAAGCATAATTTCATGAATCCCTAAAATTCAATTCTACTACCACCCTGCCATTATTTAGCTGGGTGGCATTTCATTTCTCTCTCTTGGACTTTGTTTCCTTACTAGCAAAATGAAAAGATCAGACCGAAGATTCCCTATGGTTGTTTTGAAGTCTGAAGGGCCATGCATATGTCTCCAAATGCAGTAACAAGTCATAATTATATAGCTAAAAGCAAGCAAAGGTTAAAAAAGTCCCAGCAGAGGTTACATAAATTAATATGTTAATTAGTCTTTCCTAATAAAATATTCAGAGTAACTTTAAAAACAAGTAAAAGTCCTACGGGTTGATGTGCTTCCTCTGCCTTCATTAAGTCCTCATAGACTTCTCCACCTTCGTCTTCTCCATAAACACAGTCATAGAGATCTTCTTCATCTTCTACAAGGGTTTCACTACAACAAAGGTTATGATATAAGGTCATTTTCTATTATGCAATAAATGCAATCGCTAGAAATAGCCTACTGGGTTTTAGTAGAATATCCAGAAAGGAAATAAAAAGGAATTAGTGGGAAGAGTTCAAAAGGCTTACATTATGACTCTGTCCCTCTTAGTAAGTACAATGACAAACAAGTACAGAATCCAACAATGAGTGCAGTGGCAGCTATCGTTTACTGGGTAGTTACTATATATAAGCACAAAAATAATCATTCTACATATATTATCTTACATAATTCATCCAACATTATCAGGTATGCATTATTATTTAATCCATTAAAGAGATGAGGAAGTTGAAAGACCAAAAGGTTATTCGACTTTATAAATAAGGCAGCTAGTCACTGGCAGATCCAATATTTAAAACCAAGACTGTCTTAACTGCAAGTGTTTTACCCACTCTATCATACTGCCTCCCATTTTTCATAGTTCAAGACCTCAGTTTCATCAACTGTATTAAAGGGTATAATATGGAGAAAACAGGAGAATTAAATTGTATCTAGTGTGTCATAAATGGTCTTTTAAAAGCATCAGTTACTGCAGTGTTATTACAGGATCTAATCCGGTGGTTTTTAAACCATGCTCTTTCAAGCCCACTCAGAGGATACCTACCAGTTCCCCATCAACCAGACCCTTCCTTTAACTGTTTTATTTGTTTGCATCTTTTATCAAGGTTCCCAAGGTCACAAATGTTCTGAATAAACAATTTAAAATCTCCTGCTGGTCTCCCAGCAGTTGAAAATAATCCCTATTTCTAAATAATCCCTGTTTCTAAAGTTTCCACCAGCACTCACATAACTACTGCATCTTTCCAACAGCTGAGATTGTAAACCCATTCGGTCATTGCATGTCCTGTTACTACTCCTCAAGTTTTTCCTTTTAGTCGAAGACATCTATAAACGCCTTCTATTAACCAGTGATCTCAAAGAATTGAGATTAACCAGTTTCAAATATTGGAGACAAGCATTCATATCTCTGAGAAAGAAATTCAATTTCTTTAATACTATCAGTCCTTTGTCTCTCTCCTGGGTCTGTGCGGATAGAACATTAAAAATTGATACATCCACAAATAAAAACAATGTAACTGTAAATGTCACTCTGCAACATGGAACATTTTTCAAAGTAGGTCCAATCACAGGGTTGTCTATGTTTGTCATGAAGGATTATTTGAAGGTATTTGACAGGAATAAACTGTTAAACACTTGGAGAAAAGGAAGGTATATTAAGGGAGAGGGATCTGTTGGTAACAAGCTTCAGAGAACACTGTTCTGAGAAAAATTCGTTCCAGAGCTAGTGGTCCACCCACCCACTCATCCAGCCAGCCAGCCATCTATCCATCCCAATGACATTTACTAATGTCTGAGTTCCAGAATTTTCCATGTTGAGAATGTACACATCAAGAAGGCCCAGGAATTCTCCTAGTCTAGTATGGTGAACAGTACATAACCTACAAATGTCATTCTGGGCTGGGTGTGGTGGTTCACGCCTTTATGTAATGACAGCACTTTGGGAGGCTGAGATGGGTGAATCACTTGAGGTCAAGAGTTTGAGACCAGCCTGGTCAACATGGTAAAACCCTATCTCTACTAAAAAGACAAAAATTAGCTGAGCGAGGTGGTGCACACCTATAATCCCAGCAACTCAGGAGGCTGAGGCAAGAGAATCACTTGAACCCAGGAAGCGGAGGTTTCAGTGAGCAGAAATCATGCCATGGCACTCCAGCCTGGGTGACAGAGTGGGACTCCCTCTCAACAACAAAAAAAGAAACAGAAACAGAAACAGAAAGTGGGGGAGAGGAAGGGAGGGAGGGAGGGAGGGAGGGAGGGAGGGAGGGAGGAAGGAAGGAAGGAAGGAAGGAAGGAAGGAAGGAAGGAAGGCAGGCAGGCAGGCGTGTGTAATTCTATACATGCAACAAAAGAGATGAGTGTAAAATACAGGAGCAGAGGAAAGAATAACTCTCACTAAAGAAGTTAGGGAAGGCTTCCCAGAAGATACTACATCTGAGCTAGATCTTGACTATACTTATCAATTTATTCAATAGGTATAATATTTGCTATAAAAGTACTGTGTGCCAGGAGACATGGCTGCAGACTAGGCAGGCACAGTTTCCACTCTCCTAGAACTTCAGAGGGCAGCAGGAATGACACACACTCAATTAATAGAGGGAGACAGCAGTCCAGACAAAGGATACTAACACATGCAAAGGCAGATGGATGAGAGGAACCATGGAACCTCACTCAGTGTGACCAGTGAGTAGGGTACCCCCACCTCCAGAGAAGCGTTGAAACCAAACTTTAAAGGACCATGCACTCTGTGAGCTCAACCTTATCCTGGGCATCAGGGAGCCAACAGGTGTTTTGCATGGGGGTAAAGACAGGCAAGGAGATCAGTAAGCCAAGAAGTGAAAGACTGTGTGTGAATAAATATTCAGAGTTGTAACTAAGGTAAAGACAGATGAGGATAGGAACAGAGAGACGTAGGAGACTGAGACAACCAGACTTGGTGACCGCTGAGATTAAGAGAGACAGAAGGAGCGAAGAGAAAGGAGATTTCTACTTTGGGAGACTAGGGAGATGGTGAGTCATATTGTCAGTAATATAATTTCCATACTGAGGGGTTCAGGCAGGCAATCTGGCCAGAATACAGTAGGGCAGGCAAATAGGTTTGAACATTTTCTGTATCACATCAAAGGACAGGGAGGTCTGATGAGTTCATGAGGGAGTTGAGATATAAAATGATGAAAAAACAGGTTCTGCATTGGAGGGGATCCTGTTCTGAAGAAAAACAGACTGAAATTCACTTCTCTGGCACTCCTAATCCCAGCATGCCTGGCTCTACTTCCTAATTATCACCACCCCTGCAAAAAGAGTCAAGCTTGCTGAAGTCTTACATTTGACTTTTCCCATGACAGTAAAGAATGAATCATATACATTCACACAGAGTTTTCTCTACTTTGTTTTGTGGTGGGTGGGGATGGAGTGTCACTCTGTCATCCAGGCTGGAGTGCAGTGGCACAGTCTCAGATCACTGCAGCCTCCACCTCCTGGATTCCAACAATTCTCCCGCCTCAGTCTCCCAGGTGGGTGGGATTAGAGGCACATGCCAACATGCCCAGCTAATTTTTGTATTTTTAGTAGAGATGGGGTTTCACCATGTTGGCCAGGCTGGTCTCGAACTCCTGACTGCAGATGATCCACCTGCCTCAGCTTCCCAAAATCTTAGGATTATAGGTGTAAGCCGCCATGCCCAGCCAACTTTTCTCTATTTTAAGACCTATAAGAATGACATGCATGTGTTAGCGCATGTGGGCATGCAAGCACATAAATGCAACACACACACAAGACTGGTCTAGAAATGTTTGGTTTTTGTTATTCAATCCTATACTAAAAGAAAATACAATGCTTTTCTTGCTAACAGCTTGGTAGACAATTTCTGATTTCTGAGCCGGAAAAGAAGAGCTATGATATTTTTCAAATGGTCAATAAATCAACAACAATTGATATTAGCTTTCCTGTCTTACGGCCAGCTACATATGGGCGTGTCTGGCACCCTGATGGTATAAGTAGCAGAACTGAGGACATTGTATAGTGTAGCTTTTACCTGCCCTCTCCACGCCATCCCATGGCTTTCTCTCCAACTTAGGAAAAAATAATTGCCACCACAGTGGGGACCAGGCCAGTATTTATTCCGAGGGTTTCCCTTTGGGTAAATTCAGCCCCAAAAGTTAAAATTAGGTATATTTTCCCATAGAAATTGTAACAAAGCTGAGACTAAAAATCAAGCTGTCACGGCAAACTCAAAACTAAGCATTTCTAGGGATAATACAATACATTTGCTTTTTTTTAAAAAGATAACTCTAACTTGCCTGTAATCCTTAGGAGGCCGAGATGGGTAGATTGCTCGAGCCCAGGAATTCGAGACCAGCTGGGGCATATTAAATAAACAATTTTTAATACCTCAAATACATTTGGACCTTCTTCCACCAGGTAGAAATTTAAAGCAGACTGCCTCTCACAGAGAAAGAGCTGGCATCTCAGAGCAGCCAATTCAGGAAACCAAGGTTTTCGCCAAATTTAACTAGGAACGTATCCTCACTGGCTTTATTCTAACATCAATTCTGCCTTTTAAAAATCAGTGAAAAAAACAATATGGGGAAGCTATAAAAATTTATAGGTGTAAGTCACCACTGGTATGGGTTAAAAAGGAGTATCATCACGGCACTGGAAATTATACATTCTCCTTACTTTAAGTAATCTGAGTACACTGCTGATAATCTCAGTTACTTTGTGAAGACTGCAACCAATTCAGTAAAACAGCTGGCACTATCTTGCTTAATATTGGTGAGTTCTTAGAGATTTCAAGAGATAAGAAACTATTCTTAATCGATATTTAAAATATAAGACTGAAAGGTCATTCTGATGGCACCTGTCCTGGAAAGAGCTGCTGTCTATCCATCCATGTGGTGCAGTCGGTGCTCGCTTCCTCTGCTCTTCTACTAAAAGCTCTGAGAGGGGCAAGTCAGGTTGTATCTGTAAGTTGGTGCTATGACTAACAACCTCTGCTCTAGAATAAGGGCTGTGTGAAGTTCAAATCCAAAGACTACTATGTACTGGCAATATCACCTCCAGCAATTTACTAGGCTTTTCAAAATTCAGTTTTCTCCCTTTTGAACTATGAAGATACAATAACAACCTAATAATAGTGTAGTATTACATGAGATAGTGCATGTAACCTGGCTAGCACACAAATGGACACTCAGTAAACTCTTATCATTATTGCCAGCTGTAATGCCTGGCAAACAATAGATGCTAGATGCAATTTTGACTTACTAATTCAGAAAACAAATACTTATTGAGTACCTACTATGTGCTAGACACTGTGAAGTTCTAGGAATACAGCCATGAACAAAGCGAAGTCCCACACCTCACAAAGTTTACCTTCTAATGAGGAGACAAACAGTAAAGGAAGCAAACCAAGACTGTCTCGGGCATTGGCAAATGCTGTAAAACACAGCAACGGGAGGGGGTGGCGGCAATTTTAGACATGGCAGTCACAGAAGGCCTCTCTGTAGAGGGACATCTGAGCAAAGACTTGAATGCTGAAAGGACAGTCAAATAGACAGAAAGAACAGCACGTGCAAAGGTCACAACACTAAACAAGCCCAGTGTGTTGGGTGTATAAGGAAGGAGAGATGAATGAAGGATGAATTTCCATAGCATTTGAATCTGCCTTGGGGCATAATCTATTTCTTATTATGATTCTTTGCAAACATGCCTGATCTATGTCATCAGTTCCTTGAGGAGTAAGGATCATGCTTATATTTATTTGTAATTTGTACAAGTCACTCAATCAGCAGAAGATAATCGGCTGCAAGGCCCTTTTGCCTCTCCTGACTATTAAATAATAAAGCTCTAAAGGATTCTGTGTTCAGAAAGAACACCGTCTACTAAAACATCCCAGCTAGCTCCAACCCACACTTCTCTCTCCCTTCCTTGAACTTATAAGGCATGCACCATGTGTCCCACAAATCCAGCAGCAGGTCTTATTTCTTTTTAATTGTTCCATAATTGTCTAACTCCAATTTTATCTACTACTTCTGCTATGCCTTTGAGAAACTCTGAAATTGTACTTCATTACAGTATGTTTCTTCATTCTTCACAGGGACACCACAGCAGGAACAAAAACTCAGTTGAAGTACATTTTCTTGTAAAGCTTTCCATCGCCAGTTTAAGGTTAATTCTTACATGTCTCAGTAACTGAGACACTTTTCTTCCTTCAAATAGCTTACTTTAATATCCACAGTTAAAACCCACAATGGACGCATAAACTGACAGTGGCTAAATTTTGCTCAAAATGTTCAACATACTCTATTAAATCAGGAAGGCCTTTGTAGATGTCTTCATCATTAATGCTTTCTTCTGTCGGGAAGGGCCTAGGAGGAGGGGGGAAGAAAACATGAATGAATGAGCAACAATCAGGCTGCGCATTTATCTCTCACTAAATATGTAAGTTATCTGCTGCCAAAATGGTCAGATCAGTCACCATGTCTAACAATGTCTAGGGCTTTCCCCAAAGTGCCTGCTCAGTGGCTGTGTCTGAGGTTCCTCTAGGAAGGCTGTAACACCTGCCACCTGAAATCATCTGAAGCAATTACAGGTAGTCACCACAGTCACACGTATGGGGGAGGGCATAATGACGTGCTTATGTGATCTCCCACCTGCCACATACCTGCAGGGTCACCTCACCCACTGCAGCTCCCCAAATCAGACAACGAACAGCCGTGCGTGTGCCCTTGCCTTCAGCACCCTCTCTTTTCAGCTATGGGATCTGATGACAAATAATTTGGTAACAATCATCCTTCCGTGGCTCACTTCACTAGTGAAGATGAAAATTAGTGGAAGAAAAAAAAATTGTGCCCTTTACAGGCTAACTCCAGTTTTATCTACTACTTCTGTTACACCGTTGAGAAACTTGGAAATTTTACTTCATTGCGATATGTTTCTTTATTCTTCATGGGGGACACACAACAGGAACGAAAAACCAGTTGAAGCAAGTCTTCTTTTAAAGCTTTCCATTGCCAATTTAAGATTGATTCTTACATGTCTCAGTCATTCAGCCACTTTTCATTGTGCCTTTGCAGGGCACGATGACACAGAAATGTCACTTTTCACCCTGACATTTCTGCTCGGACTTTAGTGTATTTAAGTTGTATTTTTTATTTTCATTTATTAGACAAGGCAAATGAGTCAACCAGACCTTGGGGAAAATAGAGTGTTTTCTATATTCCCTATTGAAGAAAATCACACTTTAATATATTTCGTGTTCCCATTGTGTGGCTTCCCTGTTTGCCTCATGGTATCATGTGCTTTTCTCATAACACCAGGATAATGCCTTAAATTTATGTCTAACGAATTCACAATAAGTATACCGTGCCAAAAATTCTACCCTTTTCAGACAGCCAGCATATCACATGTTTCATAAAAACAAGAGGATCCATCAAAATAATAAGTAAGCTTTAAATAATTACTAAATAGTTATATTAAAAAGCTGAGTTTCACACTGACTTATGGATTAATTTAATTCTGAAGACATTTGAGGAGACTAGGTTTTTTCAAATAAATCACAAATATAGTCTGAGAAATATAGTCTCAAAATCATTTTCTATAAATTAAGGCACATTTTATTATGCAAGCTCATTGTAGAAAATACAGATGAGAAAAATGAAATAAGAAAAAAATCTTATTTTTTTTTCAGAATCAAGAATACATAAAAATTTGATCATGCTTTAAAAAAATCTGTTTACATATGACATAAAATATATAGTGCCACAAAAGGTATGCATGTGTTGAAAAGCAAATTAGAAGGAGTTGAACGTGTATCCTTCTGACAGACCACATACATAGAAAGCTGCCAAATTCACGACGCATTTCTAAGAAAGGTCTTGCACACCAGCAGGGCATCTTTCCCGAGCGCACTGTGCTCTGTAGCCAGTGCAGAGAACCCTGGTAAGTCCTCCTTGGATCCTCTCCCTTAGAATGGGAATGTGAGCTGGACACAGAAAAATGGCTGTGACAGCTGGAGACAGAAATATGGAGCACTGAATAAAGAAGGCAAAAAATCCATTCCATTTCCATGAGGCCTGGCTGTGTAGAGACTATTTCTATTTATTTCCTATGTTACTTACATAATACATCTTTATTGACTGATCTAACTTAAGTGTGTAGTATCTGAAACACAGACGGCTCAACGCAACATACACATCTATATTTGCATGCTTAGCAAATGCATAATATCCATCGCAAGGAGATGGCATACTATATTTAACCAATTTACTTCCCAGTTTTTAATTTACTACTGAACCTTCAATACACGCTCTTGTACACGTATTTTATACTTGTCTGATTATTTCTTAAACTCCTAAAAGCTATGAGTTATTATGTTCTACTTTATAGGAAATAAACATATTACAACATATTTTAAAATATTTATTTTCTTAAGCATTTGTGTTTACCTTGAATCATATGTACAGAAATGTTGGAGGAAAGTGAAAAAAAAAAAAAAAGAACCACACAAGTGACAGTCACCTGTGAACTGAGAACAACGTTTAGCCAATGTGTTATTCAACTCTATGAATACGTTCTACCTTGCTCAATTAATTGCAAATGTGTACTGGGTACTTACATACCAGGCACTCTTCATGAATGAGACAGACTACCTGTGTGCAAGATGCTTCACAAATAGCAACCATTTAATAAAGAATCCTTACACTGAACTCAATGGGACACGTGAACAACAAAACAGAGCTTACCTGATTCCTGTGGCCAATGCTATAGGCGTTCGAGAAAGTCGTGATAATGTCTCTATAACCTGAGAAAAGAGGAAAATATTAACTAAACATGTAGTTCAGAAAAGGTAAGATTTCTTCTTCCAAAGCTTTTCCAATCTAATATTAACTATAGCAGCAGAAACATATATTTGCAGATGTCACAGAGGTACAGAATGAGAAGCGCCGTGATTGATAAGTGTAAATACCTGGATTACACTTTTGTTCCTTGATTACTCTGAGCAGATTACCAACCCATTTGAGCTGCAGATTCTTTATCAGTATAACAAAAAGTTAGCCTGGGTTACCCCAAGCAAATTATATCTCTTCTTCTACAGAAACTGAAAGATTCTGGAAAGCTGTATTCTCCACTGGCCATAAGAGGCCATTTAAATTAATTTAAATTTTAAAAACAAAAACATTCCAGTTCTGCAGCTGCACTAGCCGTGTGTTAAACGTTCAGTAGCCACATACCTGCGGCCGCCGTAATAAGCTACAGAGTCATCAAAAACTTCTGTCACAGAAAGCTCTACTGGACAGTCCTGTTGTATAACAAAGCAGGTTACGGTGTGGATGGGTTCATAAGCTAGACCGCCTGAGTCTAAACCCTGAGTTTATCATTTATTGGATAGCTCACCTTGGGCGAAGTACTTAATTTCTCTGAGCTTTAGTTTCATCGTCTAGGTAATGCCTATAATACTTAGATGATTAACCATCATTACATTATTGTAGGATTAAATAAGATAGCATGTAAAATATTTAAATAGTACTTATTCTGTATAATCACCAACTTTAAGGAAATTGCCTTAATTTAATTCCAAGTGTTTTCAGAAAAAGTTTTCTACATTAACCTGATTATCTGTTTCAAAGATTCCTTATAAAGATCTTCAGTACGTAATCTTCAGTACGTAAACCTGTTAAATGTGCCCTGCTAGCAACTTTATCCTTCCTTCAATCTTTTGTCCTAAGACTCTCTCTTTTGAAGACTTGGTGAGAAAGCCATTTATCTAAAATGTGATTTTCTCATAAAGTCTGGGTTTTTTCTGTTTTTTGAGAAAGAGTCTCACTCTGTTGCCCAGGCTGGAGTACAGTGGCATGATCTTGGCTCATTATAACCTTTGCCTCCGAGGTTCAAGCAATTCTCATGTCTCCCTCACGTAGCTGGGATTACAGGCACATGCCACCATCCCTGGCTAATTTTCGTATTTTTAGTAGAGATGGGGTTTCGCTATGTTGGCCAGGCTAGTCTCAAACTCCTGGCCTCAAGCAATCCACCTGCCTTGGCCTCCCAAACTGCTGGGATTATAGATGTGAGCCACAGGCCCTGCCATAACGTCTATTTATATGATAATAGACATAATACATCCTAACTCTCAAAAATTTAACAAACACAGCTTAAAGAGGTTCTACTATAAGGCCTCTTCAGAATGAGAGTAAAAAAGGAGAAAAGGCAAAAATCTGTTTCTAAATTACGGTAATCTGAGTCCTTACTTCAGAGACAGAAACATAAAAATGAAGTCTCCATCACTCTGCAGACGCTTCATGCAAGTACCAGCCACACATACACTTACATTCCACTCACTTCACGAAGCGGTCCCATATACATGGTTGTAGTTAAAAATTCCTGGCTTGGGAGTAAGAATACCTGGAGCCCTGACTCATGAGTTTTCAGCTATGCTCACCTTTACTGGCCTCTGTAAAATGCAGACAACAGCTAACTGTTCCATGGAGTTACTGAAGGAATTAAATGAGATGATGCCCATCATATGCTTGACTTGGTAAATGTGAACTTCTATTATTATATAAAATAAATCATACAAAAATAATATTTAATTGAATTACATATAGATGACAATGTATTGCATTCTTGAAAACTGCAGAGGGTACATTTTAAGTGTTCTTACCATAAAAAATACGTGATGTAATGCATATGTTAATTAGCTCCAGTTAACCGTTACACAATGTATACGTATTTCAAAACGACATGTTGTACAAGATCAATACATACAATTTTTATTTGTTAATTTTTTAAAAATTAAGAAAATCTGTTACATAAACAAAAGAGAAGGGAGTAAAACTCTTTAGTATGGTTCCAAAGGGTTAGAAAGAAGCAAAGGACATGGCGACTAGATGAGCTAATTTACTAATTTACTGACCCCAAAATTCTATAGTCTAACCCTAGCCCGCAGCTGTGACCCTAGAAAAACAAAAGAATGAAAATTCAATTGAAACCCTTCATGCAATTTCTTCCTGGTTAAGTGTGTTGAACATCTAATGTCAAAACATACACAACCAATCAGATAAAATTTGCTATCAATTAATACCCCAAAATTAAGATAAAGCATTGTCAGTGAGCTCATAAATTCAGAAGATCAAGAATGAACAATACTAGTAAATTTATCAAAATTAATGCAAAATAAAAACCCTTGCTAAAATATAAAAATTATTCACCATTAAAGATACAGACTGGCAAATTGGATAAAAACCCAAAACCCATCAGTGTGCTGTATCCAGGAAACCCATCTCACATGCAAGGATACATAAAGGCTCAAAATAAAGGGATGCAGGAAGATTTACCAAGCACATGGAGAGCAAAAAAAAGCAGGAGTTGCAATTCTCGTCTTTGATAAAATAGACTTTAAAGTAACAAAGATCAAAAGAGACAAAGAAGGACATTACATAATGGTAACAGGATCAATACAACAAGAAGAGCTAACCATCCTAAATATATATGGACCCAATACAGGAGCACCCAGATATAGAAGGCAAATTCTTAACGACTTACAAAGAGACTTAGACTCCCACACAATAATAGTGGGAGACTTTAACACTCCACTGTCAATATTCGACAGATCAACCAGACAAAAAATCAACAAGGATATCCAGGGCTTGAACTCAGACCTGGAACAAGCAAACCTGATAGACATTTACAGAACTCTCCACCCCAAATCCACAGAATATACATTCTTCTCAGCACCACATCACACCTACTCTAAAATTGACCACATAATTGGAAGTAAAGCACTCCTCAGCAAATGCAAAACAACTGAAATCATAACAAACAGTCTCTCAGACCATAGTGCAATCAAGTTAGAACTCAGAATTCAGAAACTAACTCAGAACCGCACAGCTTCATGGAAACTGAACAACTGGCTCCTGAATGTTGATTGGATAAACAATGAAATGAAGGCAGAAATAAAGAAGTTCTTCAAAACCAACAAGAACGAAGACACAACATACCAGAATCTCTGGGACACATTTAAAGCAGTCTCTAGAGGAAAATATATAGCAATAAGTGCCCACATGAGAAGAGTGAAGAGATCCAAAACTGACACCCTATCATCAAAATTGAAAGAGCTACAGGAGCAAGATCAAAAAAACTCAAAACCTAGCAGAAGACAAGAAATAACTAAGACCAGAGCAGAACTGAAGGAGATAGAGACACGAAAAACCTTTCAAAAAATCAATAAATCCAAGAGCTGTTTTTTTTGAAAAGATCAACAAAATAGACAGACCACTAGACAGACTGATAAAAAAGAAAAGAGAGAACAACCAAATAGATGCAATAAAAAATGACAAAGGGGAAATCACCACAGATTCCACAGAAATTCAAACCATCATCAGAGAATATTACAAAGAACTCTATGCACATAAACTAGTAAACCTGGAAGAAATCGATAAATTCCTGGACACTTGTGTCCTCCCAAGCCTAAACCAGGAGGAAGCTGAAACTATGAATAGACCAATAACAAGGTCTGAAGGTGAGGAAGAAATTAAGAGCCTACCACACAAAAAAAGCCCAAATCCAGATGGATTCACAGCCAGACACACAAAGAGGAGCTGGGTACCATTCCTTCTGAAACTATTCCAAATAATCCAAAAAGAGGGAATCCTTCCCAAATCATTTTATGAGACCAACATCATCCTGATACCAAAACCCGGCAGAGATCCAACAAGAAAAGAAAACTTCAGGCCAATATCCATGATGAACATAGATGTAAAAATCTTCAATAAAATACTGGCAAGCTGATTGCAACAGCACATCAAAAAGCTTATCCATCATGATCAAGTAGGATTCATCCCGGGGATGCAAGGCTGGTTCAACATACGCAAGTCTATCAACGTAATTCACCACATAAACAGAACCAAAAACAAAAACCACATAATTATCTCAATTGACGCAGAGAAGGCCTTTGACAAAATTCAACAGCCCTATATGCTAAAAACTCTCAATAAACTCGGTATTGATGGAACATATCTCAAAATAATAAAAGCTATTTACGACAAACCAACAGCCAATATCATACTGAATGGGCAAAAACTGGAAGCATTCCCTTTGAAATCTGGCACTAGACAAGGATGCCCTCTCTCACCACTCCTATTCAATATAGCACTGGAAGTTCTAGCCAGAGCAATCAGGCAAGCAAAAGAAATAAAGCGTATTCAAATAGGAAAGGAGGAAGCCAAGTTGTCTCTATTTGCAGACAACATGATAGTATATCTAGAAGGCCCCATCGTCTCAGCCCAAAAACTCCTGAAACTGATAAGCAACTTCAGCAAAGTCTCAGGATATAAAATCAATGTGCAAAAATCACAAGCATTCCTATACACCAATAACAGACTTAAAGAGAGCCAAATCAAGAATGAACTGCCATTTACAATTGCTACAAAAAGAATAAAATACCTAGGAATACAACTAACAAGGAACGTAAGGGACCTCTTCAAGGAAAACTACAAACCACTGCTCAACGAAATCAGAGAGGACACAAACAGATGGAGAAACATTCCATGTCCATGGTTAGGAAGAATCAATATCGTGAAAATGGCCATACTGCCCAAAGTAATTTACAGAATCAACGCTATCCCCATCAAGCTACCATTGACTTTCTTCACAGAACTGGAAAAAACCACCTTTAACTTCATATGGAACCAAAAGAGAGCCCGGATAGCCAAGTCAATTCTAAGCAAAAAGAACACAGCAGGAGGCATCACACTACCAGACTTCAAACTATACTACAAGGCTACAGTAATCAAAACAGCATGG